GCGAGTCAAAGAAACACTTGTGCTTTTGTTTAAGGAAGAACTATAACCAACTTATAGAATAATAAATTTTGATTCAACTTAAGAAAACATTTTGTGCTATTTAACAGTTGAGCAGCTAGTTGCTTTGTTAGAAGTGTCACAAAAAGGGAAAATGCAAGGCTGAAGAGTCAACACAAGATTCCTGGAAATAGACCTAAGACTAGTAAATGGACCTTCATCTCCCTCTAGTTCCTCTGGTAGATGTGATGTGTGAGTTTACTTACATAGGAAGGAATACCCCTTACTGAAATGTTGAGAGTAGAAGGAAATTGCCAGTTCTTGGCATTTTAGTTCTGCTAGGGAGATTCAATTCTTACCTCCCACTTTTAGAAATTAAAGAGAAAAAGGCTGAATATTCATTGATTAAACCATTTAGTAGATTTACTTTTTTTGTGGTTATCACAAGTGTGGATAATTTTGTATTTGTGTTGACCAGTATGTCACTTGTTTCCTTAAATATTCTAAGTGTGTTCTGTCTGATTGTCTAACTACAAATAGGCCAATGGCTACGAAGGTGTTTGGTCTGGAGACACTAGCATGATGCCCATCTTCTTCACACTTCTTACACAGTGACATTTCAGTAACCTACAGAATACAGGACTGATTGTGTGGATTTCCTTTTATAGTATTTTGCTACTCTGAGAGTGTGGTGCTGGTGCTGGTGCTGGTGCCAGTGGTTTTTCCCTACAGACTTCATATTTAAAAGTGGGGGAAAGAATTAAAACACAGTCCCCTCTGATTTTATGATCATGAAATGAAGAAAATGAAACATTTTTTTCCTTAATATTTATTTAGAAAAGCACATTGTCAAAAGGGGGAGAAAATAGATTAGTGAGCAGATAAGTGAGAAAACAACAGTAGTATTGGTTTTCATAACCTACATACAAATTTTAACTGTAGCGGAAGAAGATGAGTAGGGTTTATGGTGGTAACATTCACAGACTTTCTGTGACCTTCATAAGAAACCACTTCACCTGAAAAAGGAAAGAAAGTTAAAATCTCACAACAAAACAGAACATAAAATTTTAAAATATAAAACAAAAGAAGAATAAAAGACTGGTATCTGTGGCAAGCATGACTTTTCATAAAGTTATTGTCACACTAAAATATTTCCAGGGGCTGGGGAGATGAATAATCGCTTCCCTAGCAAGTGCAAGGGCCTGAGTTCAATCCGTGGTTCCGCCAAAAGTAAATAAATAAATAAATAAATAAAGATAAATAAATAAATCAAATATTTCCATGTTATATAAAAGATGAAATGGAAGTTAAAAGAGTCTTGTCTGTGTTTATCTAAGAAATAAGTCCGGTATTTTTTCTACTGACAATTTCCAATAAAAATTAAAATGCTATCTATATGTAAGAGTCTATATAGTTGATCATTAGCAATTGATAGTTTATCCTAATTTAAATTTTAATTGATTTTTAAGTGGTAAGAAGAAAAATAACTTTCTTACAGATGCGTAAAACTCATTTGACCCAAAAGTTAAAAAGTATTTTGAAGAGAATATAAAAGACAAGCTTGATACAAATATAAAGTCTTTTATTCTAAGAATTGGAAAATAATACCTTTAAAGTTGTTCGCATGATTGTTTGTGGAGATAATATTATGTTGCTTTATACTTACTCTAATGTTTTTCTAACTCCAGAAGAAAGGGGGGAAAAAAACCCTTTGTTGAATTGCTAAAAGTATTCCTTCTTTCTGATTCTTCACACTTGGGTTTTAAAACATAAAAACTCAACTAAGTAAAGATAGAGATTTTTAAAATTAATTGCTCAACAGTCATACCATCCTCAGGAATTTACTGAGGCAGAGCATAGAAATAAAAAGATTCTAGCCTTGAAGAGTTTTATTTCATTTTTCAATAAAAATTATTGATAATAGCTTCAGTGTCCAATAAGGAATAATTATGTAAACTTATGGATCAATCTGTAGCCTAGTCAATGTACTTACATTTAATAAAAATTATGAAAAGGCAAAGGCAAAATGATAAATTTTTCTTGTACTGATTGAAAAAAAGCAGGAAAAGTATATATACAGTTTGGTTGCAAATATAAAGAAAGTCCATAAGTACATGATTAATTTGGGGAAGGGAAACAAGGCTAATGTACAGGGAAGGTACTGAAAGTGGGCCTCTCCCTTTGTAAAGCTTTCTGCAACAGAAGTGAAGCTAATTTCTTAAAAATCAGTTGTGCTGTAAGTTGGGTAGCTTTCTAAGGAATAGTTTTGAAACAGATCTTCAAACAGCATCATAATCAAGTGACGTGCCCATCTCATGCCCGGAGGTGGCCAGAGTTCCGTTTCATCTGCCAGATGGATGCAGGGTGCATGCCCAGCATCCCACTGTCAGCATGCAGAGGAGGTATGCTGTGAGGGCCACTTTTGCCTGGGAGATTCCTGTCTCCCTGAAGTTGAACTTCATTAGGCCTGACACAGGATCACTGCCTGTATAGTAACTTGAATCATCGTGTTCCCCAAGATTTCACAGAAGAAATTATTCTTGCAGTGATTTGTGTACCATCTTTCCTTACCTTGATCTAAGACATCCTACTCTTCACCAAACTTTTTATTTTTAGTACAGTTAGAAACCAAATCCCCATGACTGACTACTCCATACACCCATCTATGCCACCTGTCCTCCTTACCACCTTAACCATCCTGGTTTCTAGTAGAGCTTGCCACTTATCCCTACCTTCTTTGCTTTAGTCCTGTGTGAACTAGCTTCAAGATCTTGCCAATCATTTAAGCTGAAGTCCCATTGTCCACAAAAGTATCCTGCATCCTCAGAGTTTTTGTCAGCTCCTTCTTCTTACTTCAGGGATATATACTGCCCACTCAGGAGCACAGGGACTTGCCCAGAAACCCACACAGACCCCCTGTGTCCTAGGCAGCATGCACAGCTCCTCAAATGCAGCATCCCGGGCCTTTAGCCATCCATGCCACCTTGCTTTCCTCACCTAGGTCTTCTCTGCCTTCCTCTGTGTGGCACTGCTACTTTCCATGTTGCCCTTGCCTAGAGTATTCTTCATGCCATTTCTCTGACAGGACAGCTGTGCTTTCTGGGTGTAGGGTGGGCTTCCATGATGGTATGCTGAAGAGTAAGAACATGATACTATGCGTGGCATAAGAATTTGCACATCACACTAGGCTTCTGTGTCTCATATTTGACAGAAGTACATATTGTTGAGGAAATGGGGGTGGCATTTTAAAAGGAGTTGGCTTGTAGCATTAGTAATAGTTAAGGCAGAAAAGAGCCTCATGTATGGCAGGAGTTTTGTTTCCTTTCTGCACAACTGGAATGCCATTTGGGCAGAGCACAAGAGAAAGAGTATAAGTGAGCGCGGGCGCAGCTTGACATTAACACGGGAGGAGGCGGACAATGAACACATAGGCGGTTGTTGATGTTTCTCTTTTCTTTATATCCTTTCTCCTCAAAGTGCTACCTCCCCCTCATCTAGCTCCTTAAAAATGTGATACTGTAGTGAATTTTCTTCATGTGCCTTCACCAAGACATTGAAGTTTTCTGTTCCATAGCAACAAAAGGCAAAAACTTGAATATTTAAGAGACATGGCTGCTCTGTTACTCATAACTTGCAGTTATTATCCAAGAGGCATTACCAAGAATTGGGCTTTCATATTCTGAAAATTAAAAAATTGAAATGGTGTTTTCTGATAATATATCTTCTCTAAAAAATGTCTTTATTTGTTCTGTCCAAGTGCTTTTTCAGTAATTCTATCAAGAAAATGCAAGGGATATTTGCTTCCAAAAAACTGAATTATGTCTTAATGATGTTGTAAGGTATCCAACTTATCCCACATTATTACAGTTAATTTTTTACCTATCCCGTTTGAAAGAGGAATAGAAAGGGCTGTTTGCAAAAAAAATATTCAAAGAAAGGAATAACAGATTTTAAACATGTTAATATGTGTAATAGGCAGCAGTGGTTGCATCATAAAGACGTTTTTCTAAATACTTTACAATAATTTGAAAGTAATTCTTTGAGTGACCCAGATCTTTAAGTACATTTTAGAAACAAAATGAAGTAATCTAGGTTTAGGAAAGATGTTTTAAAGGCATATTATTCTCACTTATAGTTGAACAATTTGTCCAAAACACAATCCATTCATGTTGGACTTTTGCTGTTCAGCTCTAAGTGGGAATCAGTAGTTTCTTTGTTAGTCACTATGGAAACGAGTCAGCCTATCATGAATAGCTCTTAGATCATGCGGAACGATGCCTGTGTCTCAGTGTACTTGCTCGCTGAGCAAGCCTTCTCCCTGCCTCCAACTCTTGCCTCCCTGGAGCCAGCGCCATGCAGGTGCAGGACGTGTCCCGGAGACCCTCTGCTGTGCATTTCCTTAGCTCTTTTCTGCAGGGTCGCCGGCACTCCACTTCGGACCCAGTTGTGAGGCTGCAGCAGGCTCGGCGTGGCTCCGGCTCTGCCACAAAGCTGCTGTCCTCATCCTCTCTCCAGGTGATGGTGGCAGTATCCTCTGTCAGCCGCCCGGAGGGGAACCCAACTTTCCCAGAGAAAAAAAGTAAAGCTTGCTTTCTTTCTATAGATTGGTATACCTTTTTAAGTGGATTTAAGCAATGCAAATAGACTATGTTATGTTTATGACTTTTTAAATATTGACAATTCTCTGTTATACTTTTTACTGTCTTGCTCAGAATTTGAATAAATATATAAAAGGAGGTTAAAATGGTTTTGTCTTTTGTTTAAAAATGTAGTTTTGGAACAAAACTTGTCCTTTTATAAATGATTGGCTTTTACAATTTCTTTCTCTTTGTTACCAATGTAATGTGTGGAGATTATTATATATGAAAGCTTTTTAAATATTAGATGAAGGGCATTTAGGACTGGCTCATTATTTACAATGAGAGAAAACAGAAGCTATTTCCTGTACAGCCATTCCATTTGGAGAGTAGGATTTTGACTCTTCTTTTCCTTCCTTATCCCAGGAAATCCAGGACGCCCAACACCAAAGTACACAAAAGTGGGAGAACGTTTACGGCATGTCATTCCTGGACACATGGCATGTTCCATGGCGTGTGGTGGTAGAGCATGCAAGTATGAGAACCCAACCCGCTGGAGCGAGCAGGAACAAGCCATTAAGGGGGTTTACTCATCTTGGTAAGGGATCCTGTTGGTCATCCCCAGCTCTTCAGGATAAAGCAGGGAGGATGCATGTGAGCTGGGAGACAGTGCATGTGGAAGGGGTCTCATGGGCTTTGCAGTCAGGACCACACCATCACCCCTGTTTTTGCCTAGCACATCTGTGGAACTTTGGCCTACATACTCTGTCCTATAAAATGGAAATAATTAAGCCAGAAACAAAGAGATTTGCTTTAAAAAAAATAATTAGTTCTTAAATTTAAGAAATGCCTAGAAATAATACAGATGCTCAGCTATAGCTTTGAGGAGATTATGAGGTACATATATAGTTCTTCAGTTTCTTGCAGGTAACCTCAAGCCTTTCTGTTGTTGTTCTTATATTCTGTGCAAAGGGATATATTTTTCACATAAATATACCTCATTCTGCCTTGATAAAAGTGGCACAGGTTGCAGCTCAGCAGACAACCTAAAATGCTTCTGTTGTTTCTGGCCTGTAAGTGCACTTAAAATTGTTCTTGAATCATACTGCCTTTCACTAGTAAAAAGAAACTATTTTTGACACATGACATCTGGAAAAAAAATGTGATAATCAAACTACATGTGAAACACATTTAGAGGAATTCCCTGAAAAATTCTAGTCATGAGTTATTTATATGGCAGGAATTTATTTTTAAATTAGATACGTGTCACTCAACTTACCTAACTTGTGATCTTCTGGGTATGCCTGCAGTTACACATTTTGGGGTCCACTGTCTTTTATTCTACATAGTTTTCAGATCTACCATTATGACTGTAACTACATGAAGAAGCAAATAGTCCTGAAGCATAGTCAGATGAGTAGATTTCTAAAACTACAGCTTAAGGTTATGCTAATAGTTTTGCTTTATTGTTGACTAAATCATGTACATATTTTTATCTCTGCTCTTTTCACATTATATCTCTTCTCATTTTCTGCTGAGTACTGGTAAATTTGGGGGATTCCAGACCTTTTGGGTCCATGTTAAATTTTGCACATTGTTGCAAGGCATCTTTTGAATCCAGTCCTGCTAATCTACTGTCTTACTCCTGTGAGATTCATATGATTTGCAACTTGGAATAGACTAACTGGCCACTAGTGAGAGGTTGAAACAGAAGAGAGTAAAGCCAGAGGCCTGATGAGTGACAGTATTTTACTGGGCCTGTGTCCATTTATTTGGCTATATGGCAGGCATTTTGCTAGATGCTCTCAAATTACCACTCATCCTCATAAAACACTAGAGTTGCTAATGCCACTTTATTGGTATTCAGAGAGATTAATTAATTTGCAGCCCAGCTAGAAAAGCCAGCATTTGAATCCAGGCCTGACTGACTCCAGAGCCCATAATTTTTGCTAAATTATAAAACTCAGTATTTATTCATAACCACAGGACAAGATTTATGTTAGATTCTATACCTATGTCATACTGAATTCTCACAGCAACTCTGAGTCAGGCATTATTATCCCCACTTATTGCCTCAGGTGACCTCAACGGAGTAACCAGAGTGCTTCCAGGTTTGACCTTCCTCCATTAGTCACTAACCACTGGCTGACGAATCAAGATACTGTAATTAATTGTGGGGTTTCTCCATTATGTCTGCTAGAATTATTGAGAGTTTTTGGAAACATTTTGTCAGGTTCATACATACATTATGTCCTGGATTATTTTTCAGGAATTTAAGGTGTTAGATTTCTTAAAACGCTAATCAGGGACCAGGGAGATAGCTCAGTAGAATAAATGCTTGCCTGGCAAGTGCAAGGGCCTGAGTTCAATCCCCAGTTCCGCAAAAAACAACAACAACAACAAAAAAAAATCTCTAATCATATTATAAAATTGAACCCAGATTTGTTTAAGAATATTCTTACAGGTTTATTGAAATCATAGAAAAAAGTCCATCTCTCATTCTTTTGAGATAAAAATGATCTGGTTTCTGTGGTTCTCACTAGTTCCTCCTCCCTCTGCAGGGTCACTGACAATATCCTGGCAATGGCTCGCCCGTCCTCCGAGCTCCTCCAGAAGTACCACATCATCGACCAGTTCCTCAGGTAGAGGTGTTGCTTGCACTGTGGGGAGCAAACTGTTTTCCGTTTTAAGTGTGTCTTCTGGTATGACTAATTGTTCTTTTTCCTTTAAGTCACGGCATAAAAACCATCATCAACCTGCAGCGACCTGGCGAACATGCTAGCTGTGGAAACTCTCTGGAACAAGAAAGTGGCTTCACGTACCTTCCTGAAGCATTCATGGAGGCTGGCAGTAAGTTCTCTCCCACTCAGCCTCTTCAGAAATTATCAAGAGCAGTGCTCAAAGATATTTGTCTTCTAAACTGTCAAGTTAAAAGGATGATAAAAATAGAGGGCCTGCCCCTTAGCTCAGTTCTTTAAGTGGCTGCTTCAACAAAACTGTCAGGCTCAGGTTGCTGTGGTTCAACCCCCACAACTCAAGCCAGCCAAACATGCCCTGAAGCATTCGGAGCAAAAAAAAAAAAAAAAGATGATAAAAATAAATATCCTGTAAGCCCTGCATAGTAGCAGGGCTTACAGGAAATAAAGAAAAAATGACTTTGACCTTAAATACTGCCAGCATTCTTCCTTGGTATGGTGTTGCAACTACAAGGTTTCTTTTTCCTCTGAGAAGACCACTGGAGAGAGACCTGCCATCTCTGCTATCCAGTTGATCTCTACAGTGTATCTGCATTGTTAGCTCATTTCACTCTTACCACAGTTGTATAACACATTTGTTTTATTTGTGTTTGACACATGAAGCCACAGAGGCTTATAAAATTATGGTATGCCCAGGATCACACAGCTTCAAAGTGTCAGCCAGGGATGGAAGATGGATGCGCTTGTACTTTGGCTGCAGCCAGCCCCGCCTCCAGTGGGACCCTAGGAATTCTTTTTGGGGCAGTCCTACAGGCTTCTCAGTAACAGGAGCTTTGGGATGGAATCCATTTGGCACATGTTACTTGTATCAAGCTGAACAGGATAATTTTTAAGGTTGTGTCTAGCTTTCTGTTTTCCCCTAGGTAGAAAATCTATATCCTATTTTTAGCAGTTCAGCCATCATTTAGATGTGTTTCCATGCTTCAACAAGAGTATGAGCTTACAGGGCATGGGCATGGTAGCACATGCCTGTAATTCGAGCTCTTAGGAGGCTGAACCAGGAGTGTCAAGAGTTTGAAACCCTAGCCAGTTAGTGAGATCTTGTCTCCAAAAAACAAAGTGTGTATTTTATTACCATATCTGAGTTACTTTAATGTAGATCATTAGCTTTATTAACTTGTAATTCTGCTTTTTTGTAATTCTTCCAGCAGGAACTGTTTTAATATAGAATGTGTTTTGTGTTAAATGGCTGTAAAACATATTAGAAATGTAAAAAGCCTATTATTTTAGGTCTGTAAGTGAAATCTGTATGCCTTATGTCTTCATACTTTTTATGAATTCTCTCATTTCTGCAGATGTCTTTGCAAATGTTTATTTCTATATATCAACTTCCTGTCTCATTTTGTTCTTTATTGCCTAGTTTATTTCTATAATTTCGGCTGGAAGGATTATGGTGTAGCATCTCTCACTGCGATCTTAGATATGGTGAAAGTAATGACATTTGCCTTACAAGAAGGAAAAGTAGCCATTCACTGTCATGCAGGCCTTGGCCGAACAGGTAAGTCTGAGGAAGTAGGCATACTTAACTATAAAAAACAGTAACATTTCATCATTCTAAAAAGAAACACTTGGAGTCAAATGAAAGTCAAAAATAAAAGACCATATAATGATACTAATGACAGTATTTTTCAATACCTTGAAAAATGCATTATATTTAAACAGATTTTATAACTTACTCAAGTGACCATTATTTTCTCTTTTCTTCTTCTTTTTTTTTAAAGTGTATTTGGTACAAGGTCTCACTATGCAGTTCAGACCCATAGTGATCCTCCCGTTTTCCCCCTCCCCAATGCTGGAATTACAGGTATGCGTAACCACATCCTGTCTCGGGCCAGCTCAGCATGCCCACCCTGCACAGTCGGGGATTGAACCCAGGTCCTTGCACTTGCCTAAGCATGCGCTTAGTCTGCTGAGGTATCTCGCCAGTCCTGTTTTTTTAAACAGGAAAAAAAAAATCACTTCATTTTAATATGTAATATATTTTGAAAGGTAATGTTTAACCAAAGTAAAAATGAAGGTAGTAAGCATTATTTTCTCTTTTTATGTTTTAAACATTTTACATTTGCTATGTTTTTTTATCTTCAGCAATAGTGTGAGTAAAAGAAACTTCATTTCATGGAAAATAGCTTGCTGCATTACAACTGCCAGGGTCAGGTTTACCTCCGTGGCTGTGCAACTCCACAGCACGTGTGCTCTCTACTTTTAGAAGTATAAGGATTATGATTGTGGACAAAAGGTTCTCTGTGCACATAATTCCATATAAAAGGTAGTGAGTTTACTTAAAAGTTGTCTAAATATCATTACACTGTTTATCTGAGAGCAAAGATAAGGCCAACAGGTTGGTGTCTTCACTATCCTGTCGTTCAGTATGACCAGATGAGCAGTGGCCTCGCTCCATCCACTGTATACCAGCGTGCCTGCCAGGGACTTCCCACCTGCCATGGAGCATCCCAGGGAGGAATATCGCTCTCTTGGACAGTGTGTGTGGTGATTCTCCAGACACTGCAGTACAGATCCTGCATGCGCCAATGGCAAAGATAGGTTGTACCCTGCCACATACTGCAGAGCATGCAGTTTTCAGAGGTTCTAGTTTTCATGTGTAACAAGATGTTCAGAGCTTCTGAATCACTTGCCTTTTACTTAATGTGTGTTGACCTAATGGATCAGATGCTAAGCTTGCTGTGTCATGCTCCCCTATTCCACACATCCTCACCTGTCACTTCTGTGCAAGCCCATCTCCAGGGCGCAAAGCCGACTCAGTTGTGGTGAGAGGCTGCCACCCAGAGGTACAAATGGAATCTATATGAAAAGGGAGTGTAATAATAAACACCCGTACAAAAGGTTGCAAGGTATTACAATTGTCCTTTACATGTTTCTATTTCACCTGTTTGTACAGTTTCTTAACAGGTATTCAGGTTTTATGTCATTGAAAAGTGATAAACAAAACCATAAGCTTTTATCTGTGTTTCCTTCCTCTTTGTTTAGGTGTTCTAATAGCATGTTATTTAGTGTTTGCAACAAGAATGACTGCTGATCAAGCAATTATATTTGTGCGGGCAAAGCGACCCAATTCCATACAAACCAGAGGGCAGCTGCTCTGTGTACGGGAATTTACTCAATTTCTGACTCCTCTCCGCAATATCTTCTCTTGCTGCGACCCAAAAGCACATGCTGTCACCTTAGCCCAATACTTAATTCGCCAGCGTCATCTACTTCATGGTTATGAGGCACGACTTCTAAAATATGTTCCAAAAATCATTCACCTAGTTTGCAGATTGCTACTGGACTTGGCTGAGAATAGGCCAGTAGTGGTAAAGGATGGATTAGAAGGGTCTGGACTCTCTGCTGAAATCGAAAAGACTGTCTCTGAGATGATCACAATGCGCCTAGATAAAGAATTACTGAGGCACCACAGTGACATAGCTGACCCATTTAATTCTACAGCAGTGGCAACAGAGTTTGAGAATCAAGATGTGATTCTTTCCAATGATCAAGAGTTTGACCCTCTTTGGAAGAGGCGGAATGTTGAGTGCCTTCAGCCCCTGACTCGTCTGAAGAGGCGGCTCAGCTACAGTGACTCAGACTTGAAGAGAGCAGAGGCTCTCCTTGAGCAAGGGGAGACTCCGTGGACAGTGCCTGCCCAGGACTTACTGGGTCACAATGTCCAGCAGCAGAAGCCCAGCAGCCACTGTTACATCCCACTGTCTCCAGCATTGGATCTCAGTAAGGAAGCATTGGTTCGCAGTACATTTTCTTTCTGGAACCAGTCTAAGTGTGGTGACTTAGACGTACACAAAGGTACATCACCCTTTTGCCAAAGGAGGGACATTGCAAAGGAAATACAACGGAGTCGAACCTTCTCTGTGGGTGTTTTAGGTTCACACAACCCCGGGGAACCTGTTACACCCACCTTCACAAATGTCGCCAGGAACCCAGATCTCTCTCACCAGCAAGTGGCCCACTTTCAGTGTGAACCTCATGGTAGCTGGAACCCAGACTCTGTCAAGGAAGAGGGCCAGACTCACTGCAGACCTCTGGACTGTGATTCCAGTCCAAAGGCACAGGTGCTGATTGGACCTGGTATCCAAGACAGCAAAGATCTGTCTGAAGCAGTGCCACAGACCAATTTGCAGTCTGAACTGAGTATAGAAGCAAGGAGAATACTGGCAGCCAAAGCCCTGGCAAACTTGAATGAGTTTGTTGAAAAGGAGGAGGTGAAAAAGAAAGTGGAAATGTGGCAGGTACTTTAATTTCTTTTTATTATACCTAAGCAGGAAATAGTTATGTCAGAGCAAAAATACATTTTTTTCAAACTTGTTACAGAAATGTAAAGATGTATCTACATCACACTTTTAAAGTTGAGGTGTCTCATCTGTGATGTGAATTTGATGTTACAGAAAGAAATGACACAGTATAGTTGTGTTTCACTTTAATCTCCATGTGAAAGAAAGCACATGGCACTATCAGTGGTCTGAACAAGGCATTGATATTGGTAGCTTTTTTTCTACCTAGCTGGGTTTGTGGGTGCAGCTACCCCACAGAAAATGGCATCAGGAAGCAGCCTGAACCATGTGATCCAGTGCCTGGCACAGGGAACCTCACTGAGAAGCGCTGACTTAGAAACATAAAAGGATTTCCCAGAGCTCTTTGGTACTCGTGTTGAGTGAGCTGTTTCCTCTCAGCCTCCTCTCCCTCAGACTTGCAGGTCTCAGTCCAGTAGGGCTGCCATCAGAGCTCAGTGAAGCAAATGGGAAAGACCATAGGCTGCCATGGTGATATTAATTTTCTCTGAGAGGAGGCCTTTTAGGTCCATTTTGTGGCTTTTCCTTAACATATGAAAACAGACCTTTAATTGAGATACTCTGTGCTTTTTTTTTTTCTTTCTGGATTTTATTTTTGGTCTTTCACTTTTTAAAAAATATCAATTCTGCAAAAAACTAAAATGAACATTCTTTGAATAATATGGTATCACCTATACCTATGTTGGGCACTTTCACGTGCATTACTTTGTGTGATTTTCACACTAGTCCTGGGAGGCAGAAGATACCATTCACTTATAGATTCCTTGTTCACCTTATAAGTTCAGCATTATAGAAGAGACTAGGGATCACAGAGACCAAATGCCTTGCCAAAGATCATAAGGCTTGTGTATTGCAGAGCCAGGACACATACTGTTTTTCTTTCCATTGTCCCCTTAGGTCCTCAACTCACTGGGACATTTCAGGAAGCACTGTAGTTAATCATTTACACAGAGGGATTCTTTCAGTTTTTTGAGTTGTCTCTTTAGCCACATAAAGTTGGATGCAGAGAGACCCTGTTATATACATGACCTGTGAGAATGGGAAGGAATGCAGACAACTGGGAAGTATTGACTTGTTTATAAGAGCATGCAGAGAAACTCAGTGCAGAAAAGCAGGAGGTCCTTGGCACAGCAGAGAGAGAGAGTGCTGCTTCTTGGGCAGAATGCCTCCTCTGCTATTCTCTACCTTTGGGATCCCAGGCCCATTATTTCCTCTCTCTCACTTTTATCCTTGAGGAACCTCCCTGCAGGATTGTAAAAGCTAAGACATAAGTCATGTATTATAGTTTCAGTTTTATTGTGAGCATGCTGCAAATGCTGAGTGGGTGAATGAATGAATGAAAGGACTCACTATACTAATTACTATTATAAAAAACTGATTTACTGAAACATAATTCTGACCCCCATCAGAACGTAATTAAAATTTTCATCTCACTTTATCCCTGCCCTATATGGAGTTTATAAAATCTCATGCTTACATTGTCTTGGGGTATTTAGAGTATTAATAAGACTTACTAGTTATTTTTACCCTAGTGAATTTCAAGATACAAGGATTGTTCTTTAATGTATTCTATATAGGAGTCTAAAAAAGCATTTTAAAGAAATATATTTACCAACTTTCAAGCAATTTTTTTAAATGCGCTTCAGAGTTTCAACCAAATGGTTTACCTAAGATCCTGGGTTAATTTAGAAATGTTGCCTTATTTTCACCTTTTCTTCTACTATTCTGCTTTACTCTAATCAATATTTCTGTGTTGTTTGCCAGAAGCTTTAGAAGGAAGACACCTGGTTTCTGAACTTCTTCTGGTTTCTGAATGAAATCTACACAGGCTCTTAGCTTCTGCAGTCCTTCACAAAGTAGTCAGCCCAGCCCTTTAGGAGGCATGGCATGAGCTTCATCCTCAGAGGGCAAGGGAAGCTTAGAGAAGTGCCCTGAGTTAGCCAGTGTCCCCACCAGGAAGTTCAAGGGCTGGAGCACTCCCAGCTGGCACTGCAGATCTGAGTCTTCACTCTCATGAGCAAGTAGCATATAGACCCACAAGTTTCAGTCCCTGCAACCCACAAGTATCAGTCCCTACACCCCTCTCATCTCCCTGCTTCAACATGTCTCTTTCTCTTCCTTTTTAGAAAGAACTAAATTCCCGAGATGGAGCTTGGGAAAGAATATGTGGTGAGAGAGACCCTTTCATCTTATGTGGTTTGATGTGGTCTTGGGTGGAGCAACTAAAGGAGCCTATAATCACCAAAGAGGATGTGGACATGTTGGTTGACAGGCAGGCTGATGCTGCTGAAGCACTCTTCTTATTAGAGAAGGTAAAGTGGCTGTTGGACCAGATGATGTGTTGGGCCCTGACTGTAAATGTCACATACACACACACACACACACACACACACACACTATTACAATAAAGAGAATTCATACAGAATCTCATATCTAGGTCTAGCTTAATAGTTTTTCAAAAAAAAAAATAAAGCTGATGTGATGGCACAGGCTATAATCCCAGCACTCTGGGAGGGTAACTGAGGCAGGAGGATCACAAGTTCCAGACCATACTGGGCAATTCAGCAACTTGGTGAGATCTTGTCTCAAAGAAAGGGCTAGGGACTGAAGTGTGAAGGCTCTGGGTTCGACTCTTGGTACAGCACATCTCCCACAAAAAAAGAAATTGAGGAGTCTGGGGACAGAGGTCAGTGGTAGTGGACTTACGTAGGGGGAATGTTAGGGTGAATCCCCTAGCATCACTAAAATAAAAGGGAACACACACATACATGTGCATGCACCCACGCCAAAAAAAAAAAAGGAAAGTGATGTAGAAGAAACTGATGCATAGCATAAACATTTATGAAATACAAAAAGAAAAAAGCATGCAATCCTCAACATTTTCAAATCTTTAAATATTATTACTTTTTTTAACTTCATAAAAATCATTTTAACATGTAATTTTATACTTCATTTTTGCTTAATAGTATACTGTTTTTCCACAAATAAGATGAACATCTCAGAAATAGTGAATATAATGAGGGAAACAGTACTTGGGGTCAAACTCAGGGCCCCTTGCAGACCAAATAAGTCCATGAACACTGAGCTACACTCCAGCCCTTTTTAAAATTATTTTCTACAAGCATGGATACATGAAAACAATGAATTAGGGTGCAACATGTGTTCTTCTGTGTTTTTAAAGTAAGTGTATATACACACATATCTTATGTATATATAAAATACAAAAGAATTGTGCTCGCTTTGGCAGCACATATACTAAAATACAAAAAAATTGTAGGGAAGTAAACTGGTTGTAGTAGTTGGCTTAGGGGAAGGTTACTATAGAACACCTAGAAAGAAAAGGAGCCTTAATTTTCAACATGGACCCTTTCATATCAGTATTTTTAACCATATAAAGATACTGAATTTCCAACTAAAAATTAGCTTTGTTTTCATTTTAGGAAACAATGTTTGTGGGCATGTCAGGGCCAGAGGCTATGCTCACTGCCCATTGCTGAGGAGCAGCTGTAGAGCACACTCCAGGAGCCAGATCACTAAGCATACTTGGCTGATGGTCATTGGCAGAAGAGCAGCCCTGTCCCGCCGCACAATTTGCCTATTCACGCCCTTCCTTACCCTCAGCAGATACATACTCAGTTGCTTCCACAATAAAACAGATCTGTGCCATCAGCCTGGTCTCCGGAGTCTTCCTTCTCTGTCAGTAGCTCACCACAAGTGTTGTTCAGTTGTAGCACCTACTATGCTATAATATAAACATCTCATTTCCAAGCTTCATTGAAGATGTTACCACACATACATACACAGTGTATACCCAAGTATACCTGTAAACAATGCCCTCATACACGTGCACACTGAGACACAGTACACTCACCCATAGGGACATGTACATACATGGATGCACAGTTTCGTGCACTGTGTCTCTTTAGATAATATTTTTCCTGTATCTGGCTTTCATTCTTAAAATATTTTCTCAGCAGTTAAATTACAGAGATAAAACAAGTGACAAGGAAAGGGATTAACTCTAGTTAGGCAGCTGTCTTTTTACTTATGTTCATTTTGCTAGGGTGTAAAGATAGGTGACTCCTTTACAGACAAGGCAAAAAATTCAGGATAGTTATCACAGAGTAATTCAAACTTGGATCTCTCAGGCTCACACACCGTCACGTTTTTTTCTTTTACAGATATCATTGAGATGGTTATCTATTCTTATAGTTTATTCTGTATTTCAGAGTATGCTCTTCGATTTCCAGCAGTGAAACTAATGAGTCTTGGTGGGTTATGGCTTAGATGTTTCTCGGGTATATATTGCACAAAGTGCTGGCATCTGTCCTGTACTGAGGTGGGCAGTCTCCAGTGGTCAAGTCCATAAACTCACCATTGTGTAATATTTGCTGGCAGGTCAGGTGCTGCTTTTTTAAAAACTTTTATTTATTCATTTAAATTTATGTATTTGGTACAGGGTCTCACTATGAAGCTCACATCATAGTGATCCTCTTGTCTCAGCCCCCCACCCCAGCGCTGGGATTACAGGCATGCGCCACCACACCCATCTTTGGTGGCCAGCTCACCATGCAGTACTTGGGGATCGAACCCAGTGCAAGTCCTTGCATTTGCCAGGCAGGCTCTTAGACCACTGGGCTCTCTGCCCAACCAGGAGTTGGCCTGTCTGTTCCTCTGCCCACTTTTCTCCATAGCGTGTGCCCCAGTGTGGCACACAGCGCACAGATCACCATGATGTCTCAGCATCAGCTACTCAAACTGAAATAATTATAATCCAAAACAGTGAAGAAGGAAAAACCTATTAAGTATACTGCAGCAGAAACATCTGGTTTAAAATTCCATTGGTCTTCAAATTCAGTCCTAACTTGTAGAAACAAACAAGCTTTGATGCTATCTCCTAAAATGTTTTCAAATTATACTACACTTATCAAATAAACACTTGGTAAAGTTCTTGGTAGGTAGTTGAACTAGAGATTGAGTAGTGGGCCGTGAACTAATTGCTTACTGTATATTTGAGTTAATTTCTTGAAGTTTTGAAACAACTTTTTTTCTTTTGGTTTCTGCAAAAACAGGGACAGCACCAGACTATCCTTTGCGTGTTGCATTGCATAGTGAACCTGCAGGCAATTCCCATGGAGGTAGAGGAAGCTTTCCTTGCTCATGCCATTAAAGCTTTTACTAAGGTGAGTCACGCCCTTCCCTCCTTTCTCCTTGCCACAAGTCAGTATCATCTTTGTAAATTAATCCAAAAGTTACCTGTCCCCTCTGAAATAGCTGTATTTCCCCTTAGTGGTGATGTATTTGGCATGTCTTTTAATTGCTGAGTTTGGGCTCAAAAAAGTTTCCACTGATATTAGGAAAAGCTGAACTGTGGGTTTTTGGAAGGAGAATATTGCACAAAGACCTTTTATATAAAAGAAGGGAGAAACAACTGGGTGTTGGGTAAGTATTTTTAAATCATGTGCCTAGTAGGAGTTAGGGAATATTTTCTTGTTGAGCTAGTTCTGCCCTCAGCTTAAACATCCAATGAGAAGAAACTATCTATTGAAAATTAAATACCAACATAGCCAATTTGGCACTGCATCCTGGTTGGCGAGTCCTAAGCCCAGGGTAAACAAAACACTTCCTTTCTATGCACAGCCTTTTTGGCTTGCAGCCCCACTGGCCGAAGAAAGAGGCCAAGTCCATGCCAAGAGAGAATGTTCCCCTCCACCTTTGACCTAACTTATTACATGTTACATATGATATAAAAATGTTACTAAAGAACCTGGCTTTTCAGTGACATTTGTGGGTAGGCCCTGATGTTAACAGCAGCTATCATTTATATTCACACATTGCAAAGCTTCTTCCTTTTGAATATTTATCCAATCTCCTTCCCTTCCATTCTTTCTAAAATGGTGTCCTTATTCAGGCTGCTTGTTTTTTCTCTGTATTTTATAACATTAGCACACTGTATCTTTTCAGTGCGTTTCTGTAGTTTCTAGAGTCAGCCTTTTCAACTCCAGTTATTTGGTCCATTATACTTGTATTTACATTTTCATGCCTTCCTACTCATGTACAGAAGGTTGTGGTTTGGTGTTAAAAGAAAGCAAACAACTTAAATGAGTCATGGTGGTGAATGCCTATAATCTCAGCTATTTGGAAGGCTAAGGCAGATAAGGCTAGGTTTAAGCCCAGCCTAGGCAATTTAGTAAGATCCTGTCTTGAACATTTATTAAATGGGCTGGAATATAGATCAGTGGTAGAGTACCTACCTCACATGGGTAAAACCCTGGTTTTCGTTCTGATATCACTCCTCCAAAACACCTGTATAAAAATGTCAGAGACTGAAAGCTTTGATGGGTCCCAAATCCATGCAGCCTAATGATTTTTTTTTTCTGGTACTGAAAATAAAACTCACAGTCTCACCCTTGCCAGTCAGGTACTCTGTCACTGAGCTATAGATCCCCAGCAGCCTTATGATTAAAAGACTCTTGACAATTCTACCTGTAGAGCAGAAGTCACAACTTTCTTCCCCCTTGTGTAATAAAGATAATATTTTTCTTCCGGGCAAAAGTTAACTTGCAGCCCCCTTATAAAAATTAGGATTTAGGGCTAGAGTTTAGCTCAGTGGCAGAGCACTGTCCTAACATGGGCAAGGCTCTGGGTTCAATCCCTAATGCTGCAACAAAACGGTTTCCTAAGATTGGGGCTCCTTAGCGGTGACATAAAACCCCTGCTGTGCCACCTCTGCCTAGGCCTTGAGTTGCCCCTTTGAGTTGGACCTTGTGAGTCAAGAACCCTCAAGAACAAGACCTATCCACCAGGAGGAATGACACTGTCTAGCTCTGGCTCAGGAGTCTCTTATCTTCTGCCAATACCCATGATGCTGGAAGCAAGCAGGCTAAAATCTCAGATCCTTTAGATCTGCTTGTAAGAATTTCCCTAAGAAGGATCATTTTGGCGGGGAGGGGGAGATAGTAAACCCAAGGTCTTGGGTATTTCTCTGGATCACATGTTCCTCTGAGGATGGGCAGGGCCACTTGCTCTGGTTCTCTGTGCTGGTCAAAGGATCTGTCTGTACGTGGTACCTTTTCAGTGAGGAGGAAGAAAACTAGCTTTTACTGAGCTTTTTATATGCAAAATATATAAGATGCTCATAGGTGCCAGATTCATTCATGCTCAAAAAGTTCTAGGGCAGTGGGCATTGTGGTCTCTACTGAAGAGAAGAGGAAATTGAGGTCCAGAGATTGGGCATGGAACTGGGGAGTACGTAGCTGGCAGGTACAATCGGTCAGTGCTCAGGCCACTCCACCACTGGTCCTGAATGGCCTGGAGCCTCTCCACATCATGCTTACCTGCTAGTATGCTTCACTTAATAAAGGAAACTCATCCTAAAATATCAGTAATTGTCTCTACCTTGGAGATACACTTCACACTCCCTGTTGACTTTCTCCGTGTTTAGATGTACATAATTATGCTAAATAGCCAGTCACTAAATTTAATTTTTTGAATGTTTACTCATTAGTCTGATATTAACATGATTGGCAATTCTAATATATTCTCTAATTAAAATGTGTGAAATTTATTATTTATATTTTTTAAATTACACTTTTTTTTAAGACAGGGTCTTGCTACATAGTTCAGGCTGGCCCAAAACTCATTATGTAGCCTGGGCTGGCCTCAAACTCACAGTGATCTCCTGCCTCAGCTTCCCAAGTACTGGGATTACACATGTCTCACCACCAGTTTAAATTATACACAGTTTTATTTCTATTTCTTTGTTATTTCCCACTTTCGTTTCTCCCCAAATAATAGGCTGGTTAAAATCCACATTACAGTGCTCTGAATAGAAGTTTTCTCTATCACTAGGTTAATTTTGATTCTGAAAATGGACCGATAGTTTACAACACCCTGAAGAAAATATTTAAGCACACGTTGGAAGAAAAGAGAAAAATGGCAAAAGATGGCCCAGTGACTGACCTTTTATGAAGCTGATTTTCTTCTCACCATGAATATTTCAGACCTAACGATCCAGATAACATTTCTGTTCCTGTGTCAATAAGCTGAAGTTTGTGGAGCTACTTTTTCTCATAGCACTTTATTTTGAATGCTATTGGCTTGTGTTGAGAATGACCCTTCCTGTTTGGAGCTATTATTTATTTTAAAATAACTTGAGCTACATCTTAGTCTTGAAAAAATTGCCATAAAGTTGCTGCCACTTTTATTTATTTAAATGGAATGATACTATATTAACATTTTAAGTATTTGGTGTTTACATCTTTATTCTCTTTGACATTTTGGAAAAAGTAGATTTTCCTTCCAAAACAGTTATTTTCTTGACAGAAATCTTCCTAGAGCTTAGTAGTAAAACCTCTCTGTGTATATACTCCTGGGCACATTGACCTAAGAAAGTCACCAAGTGTCTTAAACTGTTTTATATTTGTTACTAAGAAGGCGATTGATACATTTTTAAGGTCTTTTTAAAACTTTGAAAGTTTTTGAATTTTTTTGTTTTTATAAATGTGGCAAAGAGTTTCAAAGTGTATTTTTAGAGTGATTTAGTTTTACTTTAAAGCACTGACTGTGAAGTGGTCAGGATGTTTTACTTGTAGAAGACAACTCCAGCCTGGGCTGTCACAAAAAGCAGGGGCAGTGTCTGCACACCAGGCCTTATTCCCACTCCCCTGAGCTGCTACTAAGCCCAACTGTGTCTTTCTGAAGAATCAAGAATCAGAAGCAGGCAGCGTGGGAAGTCACTGAGGAGCCACACTCCCCTTTGGCCCCAGCAGCTTCACAGAAAGGCTGGTTGGTCATTACAGGGCAGGGCTCTGTGCCAGCCCTGCTTTTTGGCACCAGAGGCAATTCCAGGCTGGAGGGAGCCAAGGGGTCTCAGCCTGAGCAGCATGGCCAAGTCTCCAAATCTACTATTCCACAGATCCACTGGCCTTGGGCCTATACCTTTGACTGCTTTTTTTTTTATTCTGAGAATTACAATTTTTAAATTAATACCCCAGATTGCATTCACCTAGCTTCAGATAAGACTGGGTGACTACCTAAAGTCATTCTTTGTAAGCCAAACTGTCAAATAGCAATTGAAGCCATAACTTTCATATAATTAAATAATATAGAGGAGTAGCCATGGCCAAGCCAAAGAAAGGAAAGTAGCATTTTCAGTAAAGGTTGTGATAATCAGATCAATTTCAAACTGAAGAAGCTGCTATTTAATTTCAAGGTGGAATTTCTGGAGAAGCAAAACTAATTTAGGAAAAATGAAATTTCTCCAATTCCTGCCTTTGTGAATTATGCTCAAATACTTCAAAAAATGTTTGAAGTCATTCTCATTCACACTGACTCTAATGGCAAAGGCTAATGTCTTTTTCTTCCATATTGTTTGAATTTTCTTGGGAAATAAAACCCGATGAATGTTAATGAACTGATTTGCCCACTCCTGAAATATTTCATTTTCAAGTGCCTAGAATGGAAGAGGAGAGGAAACAATTGCATTTTATCTGGAGGTATGTTACAAATGTAAGATTTTTACCAAAAAGTTTGTCTGTATAACCATCAGCCTATACCACACATACCACACATCACCACAGCTCCCTGACCAGCTCTTGTTTTGTTTTTTTTTTAACCAAAAAGCCAGCTATTTTCCTTTGCCTCTGAAGCAGTTGTTTCAAATTAGAGAAATGTCATGTTGTGCACCACAGCACTGCATGCCTAAAACTTCAAATGCACATGCCTAAAATGAGATCTAGTCAGGCTATGTAGTACATTCAACTATTGTATTTAAATAAAAGTGAAAGAAAAAAAACTGTAACTTTAATCTTGTACTTATTTACCTTAATGTTTTTGGACAAGGTTCTCCTCTTTGATTTTCCTGGTGAACAAGAGTGAGTTGTGAGTGAATAGTCAGCTTACCAAGCTTGAGTTAGTCTCAAACCCATCACTACTTGGTTTAGAATGACCGAGGGTTGAAGGTGACTTCTCCAAACCAACAAGATTCCTACCCCCCTACATTTAAATGGATCAAGATAGTTGCCCAGTGGATAGAAACCCTACATTGGGAGGAGTTTTAGGGTTGGAAAATTTAGTTTAGCTGAAGTCAAAAAGTCAAGAGCATGCATTATCATGGGCCAACCATATGCATTACCTGACTCAATTCTCTTAGCAAGCTGAGAATTACTCCTATTTATATGAGGAAAGACACTTGTCTGACCCTCCTTGCTCATAAGGATCTCAACTACCATGTGGAACTTCCATCTTAGACCACTTGGGGACCTTGGTCTCAGCTCTAGAATCCATGATGACAGAGAGCACCTAGTGTCCGTAACTTCAGGAGAGATAGCACTTCTCCACCCTCTTGAAAGGCTGTGCTGGCTCTCTTAGCATCATGCGACGGTTTCTACTATATCATCTGAGAGAAAGCGCACACTTTCTCACCACCGTTGATTTTTCCTAATTCTGAAAGCTTAGTCATACTTTTTGGGGAGAAATTGCTGCTGGTGTAGCTTGGTTTATTTATTTCCATAGCTTGCCAATTCTGTGCTGATTTACTTAGTTGTATCTGTAGCCAACTCTAGTTTGTATAGGAGAACGAGTATAGGTCATGTCCCCCCTGGGCTCCACCAAAACGGACACATAATTCAATAAAATTTGCTTTAAATTAGTATGCTTGCTGATGTTTGGGTGCTATTTTGGGGGGCATGTTGAGTTTTGTTTTTATGGTGCTAGGGATAGAACTCAGGGCCTTGTGCTTGCAAAGCACAGACTCTACCACTAAGCCACATCCCCAGCCCTGTTTTTTTTTTTTATTTTTTGAGGTAAAGTCTTGCTATGCAGTTCAGGCTGGACTTGAACTCACTAGGTAGGCCAGGCTGGCCTCAAATTCTCAGTGATTGACCTGACTCAACCTTCTGAGTGCTGAGATTACAGGCGTGCACCACCATGTTCAGCTGGGTGCTGTTTTATACTGTTCTCTAGACAAGTGAAAAATTGCGTAGGGACAGTATGTCACAGATTAAATGAGTGTTCCAATTACTTGACATTTTAGGTCTCCCCAAAATAATTGTGAAGGTAGTTCAATCTATAGCGGGATCAGAGAGTGAACCCCAGAATTCCCTGAGTAGCCCCACTGCCTACAATCTAGTTAACATCACACCCTGGCAGGAGCCACAGCTGCCGCTGCCAGCCCCAGTCACTATCACCTTAACCATGAGCAGCTAGGCCCAGACCCAGCGGCAGCCCACCGCACCCCCCCCCCCGACACCAAGCCCAGTACCACGGGCAGCAGCACAGGGAGGGAGCGGTGGCCTGGTGGCCTCATATCATGGTGCCTGCTGGCTGGGACAAGAAGGTCATCAAACCAAAACTAAACAAAGTTATGGGAATAGTAAAATGGTTCAATGTAAGAAATGGATATGGCTTCATCAACAGGGATGACACCAAGGAAGATGTATTTGTACACCAGACTGCCATAAAGAATAACCCCAGGAAGTACCTTCACCATGTAGGAGATGGAGAGACTGGATTTTGATGTTGTTGAAGGAGAAAAGGGTGCAGAGGCAGCAAATGTTACAGGCCCTGGTGGAGTTCCAGTTCAAAGCAGTAAATATGCAGCAGACTGTAACCATTTTAGATGCTATCCATGTCGTAGGGAACCTCCACGTAGTTAACAGCAGAATTACCAGAATAGTGAGAGTGGGAAAAAGAATGAGGGATCGGAGAGCACTCCCGAAGGCCAGGCCCAGTAACGCCGGCCCTACCACAGGCGAAGGTTCCCACCTCCCTATATACGGAGACCCTATGGGTGCCAGCACAGTATTCCAACCCTCCTGTGCAAGGAGAAGTGATGGAGGTGCTGACAACCAGGGTGCAGGAGAACGAGGTAGACAAGAGAGACAGAATATGTATCGAGGTTATAGACCATGATTCCGCAGGGACCCTCCTCACCAAAGACAGCCTAGAGAGGATGGCAATGAAGAAGATAAGGAAAGTCAAGGAGATGAGACCCAATGTCAGCAGCCACCTCAATATCAGTACTGTCGCAACTTCAATTACCAACGCAGACTCCCAGAAAACCCTAAACCACAAGATGGCAAAGAGACAAAAGCAGCCGATCCACCAGCTGAGAATTCATCCACTCCCGAGGCTGAGCAGTGCGGTGCTGAGTAAATGCTGGCTTAACATCTCTGCCATCATCCAGTTTAGTCATCCAGCAAGAAAGAAACGAATAGGAAATTCCAGCAATAAGAAATGAACAAAAGATTGGAACTGAAGACCTTAAGTGCTTGCTTTTTGCCCATTGACCGGATAACTAGAACTATCTGCATTATCTATGCAGCATGGGGTTTTTATTATTTTTACCTAAAAATGTCTCTTTTTGGTAATGAAAAGTGTGGTTTGTTTTTTTTTTTTAAAGCCTGGTTTTTCTCAATACACCTTTAAAGGTTTTTAAATTATTTCATATCTGG